ATTTTTTTAAAAAAAATTTCAGAGTGTAGTTTGTTAATTCATGTTTTGGTAATTATAAATTATTCTTATTTACGTTATTTTATAGTGCAATAATTTTTAAAAGATTAGATGATATGATTGGAAAATTTAGAAGAAAAGGTATAGACAGTTTACATATATATATATATATATATTTACTATTACATGTTTCTTATTCTTGATTAATTCATTTCATGTTATATTTAATAAATCCTTAAATAATTTACATATATAACTTTAATATTATTTTATTTTAATTTTATTGTTCTTTATCTCTTAGACAATAAAAATTTATTTGTTATACTTATTTACAATAAATATATTTAGTAATTTAGTTTTAATATAGATAGCAGACAATAACTTTAATTTTTAAGTTTTTCTTCCCTTTAATATTTTATTTTTAAAATATTTATTTTTTTGAACATCTATAATTTTTCTTAATTCATAGCAATTTGTTGTGCATTGGAATGCTCTAATCATGTGCATATATCGTATATTATTTAATTTAATTGAATAAAATAACAAAATTTCTCTTGCGCTTATTAAAAATATTCAAATTTTTTCTTGAACATTTTTTTTTTGTTCATATAATTCTCTGCACTTTTAAAAATGAGTAAGAATATTACAGTGATATGATCAAATATTATAATATTGTATTTAAAGAAGTAAATATGGATGTTATATTTCGTATCAATTCATCCGATAATAAATTAAATATATGATAATTAAAAAGATTGAATAATAAATTAAAAGTTAAAAAATACGAACTAATTTCACAGTTAGTGAAAAAAATAAAAGCAAATTACAATTTTGAGATCATGTAAATAAATATAAAGTAGATAAGCACAAAAAAAATGCATGAAATAATATTATTCTCCGCTTGCTGCCTCCTCATAGATCCCCCAACATCATATGCAGCTGAAACACAACCAAACACGGAAAAGTCACTCCAAATTGAATCATAAAAAAGAGAAAGAAATCAAAACATTTTAGAGTGTAGCTTTTAATTAACGCATTCTTTCTTAGCATTAATGAAGGCAGAGCATCCCTTCAGTTTCAGTGCGAAACCCACAAGTCCCACTGGAGAGCTTACACATTTCCCACCCACTATCCGCCAGAGTGTAAACGAGCTTGATCTCGTAAATGCAATCCACCTACCTCAAGCCCTTCGAGACCATCAATGTAATCACCGTGCGTAATTCGTACAGTCCAAAATATTCATGCTCATGAACTTGACCGTATCGTAGCTAGTGAAATATCATGGCGGTGGGATTTTGTGGCTCACCAAATAGAAAAGCCTGAAGTCATTGCATACCCCAGTGAAGCTCCTCGCAAGAATGGCCGAAGAAGTTGAAAAACAGGAGTCTTTGCAGTGGTTGAGCACTTGTGAATCTGTAGAGCAGTTCAGAAGAGGAAACGAAGGTGCGAGGATGGCAGAATATCAGTCATGAGGAAGTCACGGTGGAGCTATAAAATGGATCAGGTGGACATGGTTGGGTGGTAGACGACTGGGATCTGCTTTTCCATATTCCTCTAAGATAATATATGTTTTTATATTATGAATTAAAATGTGTATTTTAGCTGAATCGAAAATGCAAAAATATTTTGCCATCAGTTACACATTATTTTTTGGTTTTAGCCAATTACTGTTTGAACCTTTATAATAAAAATATATGGTGAATTTTGATAAACAGTTGTCACATACCTTTATAATTTCACTCTCTTGTTAATAACATCCATGAGATTCTGTTGCTTGGTGTGTGTTTCGCTTACTGTCTTGTTAATACCTTTAATTTTATTTGCTTGAATAGGTATATTATTTAATTGCAAATTAATATTTGATGTACTATAGCACTTGAGAAATTTATGAACCTAATACTCAACGAAATTTCATAGTAAATCCCAAAATTTCTTCTTAATTTGGTTAAATTAGTGCCTAACAATCACCAGGAATGTTTTGTTTCTCGCTAATCTATAATTTAGGGTTGAGTTTAATAAAAAAAACAGACGAGAAATAATGAGCAATTTAAACAATTCGGGAAGGCCCGCATAACAAACGTGAAAACTCACAATTCTTTAACAAGGATGACAATGGTGTTTCCCCTCCAACCCCACGTGGTGGCATTTGCCATAAATTTTTCTTGGCATGGTATTTGACTAACAATTTTCTACAACAAATGTTGTAATTTTTATTTACTTCTCAATTAGTAAAATATTTTGTTAATTCTAATTGTAGATTAGGCCCCCGCCCACATGTGTTGACACACGTGAACTATTACGTTCATTTCAGGAATTAAGTTTTTCAATTCTAAGAGTAGCAAGAAAGAATCATAAAAACAAATAAGTTTAGAGAGACACCAATATTTTATACAAGTTCACCCAAAATTTAGACTGCATCATCATGTTGTCGTTGCATATTGCACCGTGATGATGAAGCTTGCAAGATTACCAGAGAAATCTCTTGTAGGCAACTCTCAGTTTATAGTCTTAAATCCTCTCCCTTATTAATTTCTCTCAATTTTGAATAAACACTAACTGCATAAAAATTTATACGTCTAAAAAAAAAAACGAAAAAAAGATATTTTTGTAATTAAAAATCACATTCAGGTAGATCCGTGTGTGTTGCGGCATTTAAACTTGGTACTGTGATGCCCAATTATTGTTTTTGGTTGCTATAGTGTTGGAGAAAAAAAATTATAAGAAGATAAACTTTTCCTTTCTATCTTTCAAATGCTAAGTATAAGAAAATATTTATAAGTACAAAAAGCAAACTCAGAGATACAACTAAATTATTCTTAATTAATTATCCAAAGACATTTTTAAATAATTTTTAAACTCTATAAAATTACTTAATTCTTTTAAAATTTTAACAAACATAAGAACCGTAAGAGTCACATAATACTTTCAGTAACTTACATACATCCTGAGAGTTAGATAAATAAGTTGGTAAATCTATATATATCAATATATGACTAGACATATTAAAAGTTTCAGATTGAGAAAATAAAAGGATAAACCAAATATTCATTAGCTCTGATGGACACATTATGGTCCCTAAAACAATTGTCACAAACAAGAGTGATGTTCATTGTATAATACTGACCCTCTTTTATCTCAGTTGTCACAAGCTAAGTATTGTGCCAAATGGAGTTTATGAATATACTATTTAAGTGTCGACCTAGCTAAACTTGGAGGAGTATCTTAGAGGAAAAGAAACCATTGATGTAAGGTCCATCATGTGAGAGCAGGGACGACTGAGGTATAAGGATTTAGGAAGATAAATAGTTTTCCTCCCAACTTGGGGAAAGGGTTTAGTCTAAAAACCTATGTACTATCATGTTGATGGTATTGCAAATATGACATTTTCATAGGGACTCATGTAGAATGTATAATTTATTAACTATCTATTTAATAGTACTGAAGCAAGATAGGTAATATTTATTTCTTTAAATTTTAAAAGGCTTTTTAACAAGTTAAGGTAGAAATTTGGATAATTAAATATGTATATGTTAAATTTGCACATAAGCTTGCGTGGAATAAGAGATTATAACTTGAGCCACAAACATATACCCATGGGAATGATCCATTGCGGGAGAGGCTTTGGAGTGTGTCTAGTCTGCCTAGGGTAAAATATTTTGGTTGGAGGCTACTTCGGGATATAGTTTCAATAAAATGCAACTTATTATAAAAGATGATAATTGTAGACACAATATGTCCTATGTATGGGAATGATGAAGAAAATATTGATTGTTTATTTAGGACGTACTCTATACTACAAAAGTAAGAAAATTAAGTATCTTTGAAGGTTTTCTTATTTAGAACTCTAGTTAGAATAATAAACTCAGTACAACTATAATGTCTCTACCCATCTAGAGTTTTGTCTACTTTCCTTTACATGTTATAGGGTAAATGGTGAGGCAGAAGCATATAGATTCATCATCGAAAATGGATGAGACCTTTTAATCTAGTTCAAAATAATATAAGCAGTATTGAAGAATTGGAAACATGTAAAGATTGTTGCTTTATTGATGGTAATCTAGGCAAAACAATATCATTAGTTTCCTACATTATAGTTGTCTCCTCATTATGATATGTATAAGATAAATTGTAATGCATTTATTGGGGATAATGATTAACGGGATGTAGGTGTTGTGTGTAGGAGATTTGATAGAATTGTAATTTTGCAGCCATGAAATTTTTGAGAACTCTCTTGTTGATGGATATGATTGAAGTTGAGACAATTTTATATGAATTACAAATGGTATAACCATTGTGATCGTAATTTATTTAAGTTGAAGGTAATGAATAGAAAATTTTTTGTGTGCTCTATTATGGTATTATGTCTAATTTGAAAGTGGGTTTGTTGATTAATGATGTACTTTCTGTTTTGGTTTTGTTTATTTTTGCATAGTTTTTACATGGATTTTGAAATTGAATTGCTCATATCTTGGCACATAGGGCATGTTCTAATGTGGATGGGAGTTTTGTAACTTGGAAACCACTTGCTTTCTTAATTCCTTTGCTTGTATTGGATGAAATTCACCCCATTCAAAGATAATTAGCATTTTCGATTCCACTAAAAAAGTTACAAAAATAAAACTTAAAATATGGCAAAAACAAAATGGTTAGAGCTGAAGTTTGACGGCGTTACAAGTTTTTAGATGCAGAGCAGGAAAGAGGTATGATATGGCGAACCGAATTTGAGGTGTAGTTTTATACTTGGCTCAGCACACCACGCATTTTTGTTGAGTTGGCGTGTCCCAAGTAATGCCTCTGATGTGACTAACATAAAAGGACTTATTTCTACTTTATATATATAATTATTATTATATTATATTATTTTATTACATATATATATATATATATATAAAGAAAAACCAAGTAGAACTCGCATCACTCCGTTTTATTGAGAGAGGAGAGTCCCCAAAAACAAAAACACACAAGCAGAGAGTCCTCGGCGTCCTTCACTCCCACATGAAAGTCACAGTGAAAATTTCATTGTCTTTCCCTCCAAGCAGGAAACGGAACGAAACGAAAGAGGCAATAAAGTAGTCACACTCCTCACTCCTCATCCTTGAAACGAACAGTTTGTCACTATCTCCGTACATGTCTCTGCAGCCCAGGTTGCAGCCGCACAGCTCACCCAAACCCACCATCATCATCTTCATCTCTCCTTTTTATATATTTCTCTTCCTATGACATTGCTCCCTTCCCCATTTTTCTCCATTACTCATCATCATCATCATTATTCTATCATCTCTCAATCTCCACCTTCCTCTTTCTTCACCTCCATTACAGCATCCACTCCCAGTCGTCAACGCCGCTGCTGCTCCAGATGGGTCCCCATGGACTCAACCCAACCCCACCGTTATCCTACGGGGGACAAGAACAAGCTACTTGTTCTTCTCGGAGCCACTGGTACCGGCAAGTCCCGCCTCTCCATCGACCTCGCCACACGTTTCTACGGCGAAGTAATCAACTCCGACAAAATGCAAGTCTACAAGGGCCTAGACATCACCACCAACAAGATGCCCATGCACGAGCGCTCAGGGATTCCCCACCATCTCCTTGGTGAGATCGACTCCGAAAAGGGCGAGTTCACCCCCGCCGATTTCCGCTCCATCGGAGACCTGACTATCTGCGACATAGTCTCCCGGCAACGGTTTCCTATCCTAGCCGGTGGGTCCAACTCCTTTGTTCATGCGCTTGTCGCTGAACGTTTCAATCCCGACTCCAACGTCTTCCACGGGTCGGGTTCGGTTAGCTCCGAGCTCAGATATAACTGTTGCTTCATCTGGGTCGACGTATCATTGCCGGTTCTATTTGATTACCTCTCCGTTCGAGTCGACGACATGCTTGACTTGGGAATGTTCGAAGAGTTGGCCGAGTTCTATGACCACGAGAAGTATCCGGGCGAGCCAACGAATCGAACCGGGTTGATGAAAGCGATCGGGGTACCCGAGTTCGAAAGCTACTTCCGAAGATTCCCACCGAAGCAGGGGACGAAAACGGAAAAGAGGAGTAAAAAGGAAAACGACAAGAGAAAGTCAGAGGCAGGTGGGGAGAGAGAAGGATACGAGGAGGCCGTTAGGGAGATCAAGGACAACACGTGTCAGCTGGCGAAGAAGCAGATAGGGAAGATCTTGAGATTAAGGGGAGGGGGATGGGTGATGCGGAAGGTGGATGCGACGGCGTCATTTAGGGCAGCTATGGCAGCAACAGGTTCTAGGGAAGGATGGAGAGAGATATGGGAAAGGGAGGTGTTGGAGCCAAGCGTGAAGATTGTGAGGCGGTTCTTGGAGGAGTAGGTCTTGGATCCAGCTTGTTCCACTTATTAATTTATTTCAGTTTGTTAGAGAAAACAACACA